TTGAAGCGTACACCACAATACAGTACTCCTGCGCACTCTAGCGTACAGTATTGTACTCCTGCGTACTATTGCGTACAGAACAGTAGTCTTGCGTACTCTAGCGTACACTTGCGTACTCTAGCGAAGTGCAGTACACAAGTATAGGCATCTTTCCAGGATCGGCAAGCGCTGGCAGATTGTGAAGAAGCTGGACGAGGGCGGCTTCGGCCGCGTGTACAAAGTGCTCGACCTGGAGAACGAGAACCGCTACGCAGCGCTGAAGGTCGAGGCGACGGACATGGAGGGCGGATCGGCCATTAAGCTCGAGGTATCCATTCCCTGAAAATCACTGCTAGCCTGCCTGCTCTTTCAGGCGAACGTCCTCGGGCAAATCAACCCGAAGGGCGGGATGCCGCACTTCCCCTACTACTTCTTCGCCCGCAAGCACATCAAGTGGGTGGAGAGAGTGAGGGAGAGAGAGGGAGAGAGTGAGAGAAAGAGAGTGAGAGCGAGAAAGAGTGAGAGCAAGAGAGAGTCTAATCTGCAGATACGTGTACATGGTGATGGACCTGCTGGGGCGGAACCTGAAGGGTATCAAGAACATGTACCCGAACGACCAGGTGCCCGAGAGGGATTGGAGCCGATGGGGCATACAGTCGCTACATGCACTAAAGGTACGGAGTGTTGGAGGAGAGGTGGCGTGCTAGCTGGGATCCTTGAGGACCGCTTGAATCTGTCGTTATTTCAGCTGATGCACGACTGCGGCTTTGTCCACCGTGACATCAAGCCGACGAACATCGTCTTCGGTCACGGCGACAACACCGCCAAGTACCGCATCCTGCACATCCTCGACTTTGGGCTCGCGCGGTCGGTTTCTCTCACGCTCTCTCTCGCGCTCTCTCTCTCTCGCTCTCTCTCTCTCTCTCTCTCCGTCTCTCTCCCGCTCTCTCTCCCGCTCTCTCCCGCTCTCTCCCCCCTCCCTACCATTAATGCGCGCCTCTTTTCAGCAGCTACGCCCTCCGCTCGCGTGGCCAATGGGAGGCGCGACGGGCGCGTAAGCGCATCGACTTCCGCGGCACCTACCGCTACGCGTCACCAAATATGCATCGCGATGAGGACCTCGGCCGCCGTGATGACATCTACTCGCTGCTGTTCATGTTCATCGAGCTGCACTCGGGGTTACCGTGGCAGGAGGACAAAAGTACGGTACTAAGGCATTTGCGGGGGGGGGGTACTGGGCTGTTAGCAGGGAGGAATTACCTGGAAATGCTCGCTCACCCCTGCTAAAAGTTCCGAATCGAAAGCTCTTCGCGTATCCCCTGAAATTCATGATTTTGCAGACAAGGACGACATCTCGTCGAAGAAGCTCTACTTCGAGGAGCACCCCGGCGAGCTCGCCAAGTTTTTGCCAGGTACGTAAAGTACGGTAAATTAGAGTACCGCCTTGCAGCCGAACTCGACGGCAACTTCCAAGCGCTGCGCCTGTTGACGTTCTACTCGCGCCCAAACTACCGTACCGTCTACGAGGGGCTGCTCGCCATCATGAAGAGGTACTGCAACTGCAGAAAACTGGCTTTTCTTGGGCATGCTTAGGCTTAGTTTTGGGGTTCGGCTTCGGTTTGGGCTTAAGTTTGGCTTAGGCTTGGGTTTGGCTTAGGTTTGGGCTTCGGTTTGGGGCTGGGCTTCGGTTTAGATTTAGGCTTAAGTTTGGGCTTAGATTTTGGCTTAGGATTGGGCTTAGGTTTGGGCTTAGGTTTGGGCTTACAATTAGGTTTGGGCTTAGGTTTGGGCTCAGGTTTCAGGTAAGCTTATCTAGGGTTAGGCTTAAGTTTGGGCTTAGACTTAGGCTTAGGCTTGGGCTTAGGTTTAGGTTTAGGCATAGGCTGGGGCTTAGGTTTGGGCTTATGCTTGGGCTTAGGTTTTGGCTCAAGGTTTAGCGTAAGCTTAGTCTAGGGTTAGGCTTGTAAAGTTAGATATAGATTAAAGATCCCGTTATTTAGGCTTTAAAAACACCAAAATTTGATTTTACAAATTTGGTGCAACTGAATGGCCTTGAATTAGTAACACGGGACCTCCCTGTACTGTAATTGCAGATGTCGCGTGAAGATGACGGATCGCTACGATTTCGAGACGGAGGCCGAGCACGCCGCCTGGGTATGACGCCGCCTGTTTTTGCGATCTGATTTTAAAAAAGAAAATTTTTGTGGTATTTACGGGTCAGAAATTTCTATTTTTCACTATTTAGCGCCGAAACATTCATTTTTGACTGGCCAATTTTGGCTTTTTCTTCAGGTGAAGGGCGGCGCGAAGCGGTGCCAATGCGAGGAGCAGCTGAAGCTGATGGACCACGACCCGATCCGGATCCACGGCCCGCCACCACTCACCGCCGACAATGCCGATGTAGGGGGCGCAAATTGGCTCTGTTTCACTTTACACCTCCCCCCCCCCCCAGCCGACCACCACCTACCGTATCTCGGCTCCGCGTCATCGTACCGGGTCGTAATGTATACCAAAATACTCGCCAGGGCAAGGCGAACGTTTTGGTATACTTTATACACCTGTATATGAACAGGGAGCCGAGATAAAAAAGTTCAGTGCCCTCTAACCTGATACTTTTTTTACTATTCCATTGCAGGAGCCCGGGCCGACGCGTGAGGACCTGAAGGTGTGGGATTTTTGAAGAAAAAAATAGTTCATTAAAAACGATACCCGATTTAATAAACAATTTTAATCAGTCATTATTTCCCTGTTTCAGTTTGCCCCGTCGCCGCGCTCGTCGAAATACCAGGAGCAGTCGCGCAGCGGCAACAAGAGCAAAAAGAGCAAGAAGAGCATCGTAAGCCACGACTTTTGAATTTTCTGGACTTTTTTCTATTGTTTTTCGGCTTGACATTACTTACTTTACTATTTCTTATTAGAGTGTTTTCTTGCAGAAGCAGAAGAAGCGCTGAAGTGTGTCCTCGGGCTCCCCTCGTCCTTCTCGTCCCTCTCGTGCTCCCCTCGTGCTCCCCTCTCCTGCCTCCCATCAACGCCAATTAAAAAGAAGAACCAAAATACACTTGATCTCGCATTTTCTACCACCCCCGTTTCGCTAATTCTCTCGCTTTGTCTGAATACTTGTCCAAATTTTTTGTTGGAAAGAATAAATGCTTTTGAAGGGGGAAAATGTGTATTATCTCTCTCTCTCTCTCTCTCTCTCTCTCTCTCTCTCTCTCGCTCTCTCGGGCCTTTCTGGGCTTTACAAAAACAAATTGATCCCCTCTGATAAGGCGAAAGACCCGCTAACCCTAAATTGTGCTTTTGACCAATAGTTGTTTTACGCAAATAACTTTATCGATTGCCGATTGCATTAAATCAATTATAAAAAAAATAAGAAAAGATTACATTCCTGAAAAAAGGCGAGGGAGTGAAAAGCGGGGTTTTACAAAAAAAGAAACAACACAAAAAAAATTAAATTCGAAGGCTGGACACGTTCATTTTGCTTGTTGTTTTTTTCTCTAACTGTGCGGAACCTATATACATTCATATATACATACAGTAACCTTGGAGAAATGAAACATAAAAACAACAGGTTGGAGGCTCGAAACCGTACTGACTATAGCGACTACCGTACTTTGCATCCAAAAAATAGCGAAAAAATACAAAAACAAAAGCATTTTTAAAGGCTATGAGCAAGAAAATTGAAGGCTGGAATTGGGTTTTTCCTAAATATCACTGAATTTCGTATTTTCTAAGGTTGAGGGCAAGCTAGCCGAAATTCCTTGGGTTTTTCTATGGTTATCTTGGATTTTCTGAATTTTTTACGGGGTTCTTCAAGAATCTCTGCTTGCTTGCCTGGCTTGGCATTGAAAGTGGGAGGGCCGAAAATTCTTAAGGCTTTTGAAAGAGCCCGCTTCCTCAAAGATCTCTGCTGGTTGGCCCAATTTCTGAGGCCACTTCAGAGTCCTCAAAGGTCTCTGCTAGTTGCCACGCAATGTCAGGTTTTCAGGGTTACCAGGTCCGTCAGAAGGCCAGAGCCCTGAAAATCTCTGCTAGTTTGCTCTTTTTAGCAAATTCCGATTCCTCAAAGGTCTCTGCTAGCTTCCCAGAAGAAACCCCGTCTGAAAGCCAGATTCCTCAAAAATCCCAGCTAGCTTGCCCTCAACTTTTAATGAAATTCCCAGAACCCAATTCCAGCCATTTTGCACGATTCGGAAGGATTGGAGGCAGATTTTCAGATTTGGGGGAGAAGAGGCTTTGAATGGGGCAAGAAAATTCGAGAAAATTTTTCAAAATGTTCAAAAAATCACAAAATGCTCAAAATGTTTCGAATCAACGGGGGTTGTGTCTCACTAAACCTGGAGGGGTCGTCTCAAGCATGCAAATTACATGGAAAAGCCGGAAATGCGGAAAAGCAAAAAAAACACACAAAAATTGGAGTCGAACCGTGCCTAACTCGTGTCAGAAATTAATAAAGAAATGCCGGTAAAAGCGGGATTTTGGGGGGAACGGGGCGGGGCTTTGAAGCATTATCGGTAACCAAAGCGGGTCAAAAAGTGAGGGCGTGACAGCACATTAATGGGAGGTTGGGCAGCGAGTGTAGAGGTGGCCGAATTCTGGGAGTTTTTGGGGTAGAACGTTTTGAAACCGCATCTAAACTTATGAATTTTGAGGTTAGAAAAATCTACGTTTTAAGGGCTATCGATTGGTATATATGACGTTGTGTAAAAGTTTTTCTACGTCGAGTTCTAGCCGTTCAAAGATTTTTCAAACTTAAAAAAGTATTTTTGATCTATATCTACGCATAGATATCTTTTATAGCTATTTAAGGTACCTCATTCGATAGAGCGGCTCAAGGGCTACAAAATCATACCAAAAACCCCAAAATCTAGCCGAAAAACCGGGCGGAGCATACATGCAAAGATATGGACAGGGGAAGCCGTTTTGGGGGTTTGGGGAAAGCAGTGGATTCTGACTTGAAAGGGCCTTGAAAAAGGCATACTCTAGGGCATACTGTAGCGTAACATAGCGGAATTGAGCTACAGGACGTCCAGCTCGACCCTCTTGAACCGGCCGGTGGAGGGCGAGTCGAATGGGCGTTGCTCATTGACGGCTGGGGAGAGGCTGGGAAGTCCTGAAAATATTAAGATCAAATTGATTTGTTTTTCTCTAGCATACCATCTCTCACTCACTCTCTCTCTCTATCTCTCTCACTCTCTCTTTCGCTCCGTCTGTCTCTTTCTTTCAATCTCCCAAACTCGACGAACCTGTTGGAGTTGCGGTCGCACTTGAAGCTGAACTCGCCGAACTTTGCGAAGGGCTATGCGATAGCGAGACCCTCCGGATACGCTTGGTCAGCATCTGAAGATCTTCTACCACCGAGCCGACGAGAAGTTCTTCCACGTCGACGTCATCGTCCACAGAGCTCGAGCTAAAAAGTGCTGATAATTAACAAGTTTTTGGTGAAGTTCAAGAAGTCTGGGGGGTTTAACAGATTCCAGAGTTCAAAAAAAATCAGAGACATTTAGAAACCTCATTCAAGGGATTTCAAAAAATTCAAGGAGGTGAGCGGGTCAAGAACGACAAGCTCAAGGCGTCCAAGAAGGTCAAAAAGTTCCAGAAAAACAGCTAGAAGAGCCTGGGAATTGAAAAAACCGAGACAGAAAAGTTCAACGAGTTCAAAAGACCAAGAACTGAAGAGACAATTGTTCAAAAAATACAAGGAGTTCAACAAGCTCAGCCCAACAAATTCAAGCAGTCTAAAAACTCACTGGCTAATCTCCGATGCCAACGACCGGAGCTCGTGCTCCATATGCACGAACTCCTCCGGCGGACTCTTCTGGGCGATGATCTGGTCGGCAAGTACACCCATAGCCACCATCTAAATGCGATTTTTACTTTCTTATCCCTGGTTTCTAAAAAGTGTTTTATTCCTACAGAATCCTTGCTCGTTACCCACCTTCAACACATCCAGATTGTAC